GTGTTCACAGTGCAATAGGATTATAGTTAGTTTTAGAGAATTTGCATTTAAGTAGTCAAAAAAAAAATCACCTAAAGTAAAGCACAAGACTCCATCTCAGCTCAGCACTCAAATGTCCTCTTGGGCATAAAGTTATTCATACAAAACCCTCACTTTCAGTTTTCACATTGCTGAATATAAAAATCTACTCTACCAAAGATGGGCTCAACAAGATGTGGGTTGGTGAGCAGGACTGTCTCTTTTTCTTCTACCCACACATTTCCCAGAAGGATAAAATGTTATCATATTTTCCCAGTTATTATAAAAATTTTAAAAAAGATATAAAATGCAAGAACAAAAGTAAAATAACCATACATTTATGTCACTGACTCCTACCAAGACAAACTCAATAAATCTTTCCAAGAAAGAGTCTCTATTTCCTCTTCACAGGTATCACCTTTTGGACTTGTTTTGTTTTGTTTTCTGAGACAGGGTCTTCCTGTGTAGTTCAAGCTGGCCTCAAACTCTCGGCGATCCTCCAGCCTCAACCTTGAGAGTGCTGGAATAATAGGTGTGCACCATCACACCCAGCTTGTCTGTTAATCATAGAAAGCTCTAAAATTTTTGCCATCACTGCTATACACTTTTATGTGCATAGATTCTGATGCACTGTGCTTGCAATTCACTGCAGAGCAGAATGCATGGTGTGTAAGATGCCTACTGTTTTGTAGGTACCAGAACACTGTTTTCGAAAGCAGTTGTTGTAATTAACTCTCCCGTGGCCAACATTTGAAGATCTACCTTCTGGACTCCAGGAACAGACCTTTGAGAGATGTGAAGTTGTTAGGCAGCTTTCTGTTGCTGTGACAAAATACTTGAGAAATCAACTCAGTAGGTTTATTTTGGCTGCATGCACCTATAATTCCAGCACTCAGAAGGCTGAGCTGGGAGGATGGCTGTGAGGTCAGTGAGAGCCACAAAATGAATTCAAGGCCAGGCTGATGTGACTACATAGCGAGACCTTGTCCCCAAAACATTATTTTGGCTTACAGTTTCAGGCCCATGGTCAGCTGTATCCATTGCTTTTAACCTTTGGCAAGGACAAAACATCATGGCAGATGGGGGTGGCAGAGCACAGCTGCTCACCTTGTGGCAGCTAGAGAGCAGAACAAGAGAGGAGAGAGAGAAGTGAATGAATGAACAAGACACACATGGATACTGAGTGAAAGGGCCCGGAAAATCAATATACTCCCAAGGTGATACCCCCGCCCCACAAGCTGGGACCAGGCCACACCTCCTAAGTCCCAGGGCTCCCGTTAGTGCCCTCAGACTCTGAATCCCTCAATATACTGATTACAGGTTAAGTGACAACCTCTGTAATCTAACCACCTTCCCCCAAACCCCACTTGTGAGTATGGTTTCATTGGACAAAAGTCACAAGAGCCTTTTAGAGAACATGTTGGATTCAAACCGCAGCAACCTCCATAAATTAGGACACATAAACCCAGATATTCAAAACCTGCAGACTAGACACTCCCCAGTCCTCAGGCACAGAAGGGCTAAGTCTGTTTATGGGACAAACATATTGGGGGGGGTGTCTGTGCGTGCCTGCGTGTGGGTGCATGTGTATATGGTCACACTAATTTTCACACAGACAGGGCGAGGGATTTAGCTCAGTGGCGCTGTACCTGCCTCACAAGCACAAGGTCCTGAGTTTAATCCTCGGTACCAGAAAAAGAAAAAAAAATTCAGACATACCTACTACACTGACTTTGATAGTGATATACAGAGTATATATGTTTTATATAATGGTGTGTAGTTCTATATAATGATAGACCACACTCTTCAATGAAAATGAACAAACTGGATTTACACACATACGGATAAATACTAGAAATGCAATGCTAAGTGAAAAAGACAACATATATATTTAATAACAAATGAAACTATGTCACCTGTATTTTTGGTAAATATGTACTCAGGGAATGAAAGTACAGTAAAAACAGTAGCATGTAGGACTTTTCTCTAGAGGAAGAGGAGGTCAAAATACGGAAGGAATTTCAGATTTTTGGGGAGCACCAGGGAGCACCTATTCCTCAATTTGGATGTTAGCTTTATATAATATAAAGCACGACTAAGTGTTCTGCACTTTTTCGTATATATAGATCACAAGAAAACATATTTTTGTTTTATTTTTTAAATAGAATCTCATTATGTAGCCAAGGTTGGCTAGAGATGCTCCTTGCTTCAGCCTCCAAAGCGCTGGGATTACAGGGATGTGCCACTAATCCTGACTCACAAGAATTCTTTTTTTAATGAAAAGAAAATAAAGTCCAGATTCTAGGCAGTATACTAGAAACCTCTAGATTTCAAGTCAGTGAAATTTTAAAGAGGCTTTGGAATGCAAATCCCTAGTATTCTAGTTCTACCTCTTCCTGTGTGAGTCTCAACAAACAACATGGGTTTTCAGGCAAGGAAATCATTCACCTGCATCCTCAGGCATTCTCCACATGAGCCTCAGGCAAATGCCACTCAGCAGCTTCAGTCAATCATTCACCACCCTCACTTATCAGGCCCCCAAGGATCCACTAAATTAGAGAGCCCTGGGCAGTTCCTGGGGTTTTAAGGAGCCCTCAGGTGATGCTAAAACTCCTGGAGAACTCGTGCCTTGTTAGCGAGCTTCGGCCTAGTCAAACTGAATGACTTGTGAAAAGCAAGTATCTAAAAATCAGGGAGGAGCTGAATTCTGGAATTAAATTATAAATGAAATTATAACTCCTTAGCAATATGAAAAAGGTTTCTAATTAAGAAAAAAGTTTTTAAAAACATCTATAATAGAGGAATTGGTAGACTAAACACTGTGTAAGGCACCGGAGATGGGTAACATTTCTACTTACGTAAGATGAGCTACCTTCGGCGTCTGGTGAAGATGCATCAAAAGCTGGGCGGAAATTTGGGTGAGGGAGGACGTTCAGGGAATGTTCTCTCCCCTTCCTTTCTTATTTCTTTCTCTCCCTCCCTTCCTTCCTTCCCTTCCTTTCCAGGGTCTCTTACGTAGCCCAAGCTAGCCTTCAACTCAAAATTCCCTGCCTTGGCCTCCTGAAAAATGGGATTCTAGACATGCACGACAATGCCTGGCTTGACTAACTACTTTTCTTTTTTCTTCTCTTCTCCCTTCCTCTCCTGTTTTGTTTTCTGAGATATAGGACCTTGGTTTGTAGCCCAGGCTGGACTTGAACTCACAGCAATCCTCGTGCCTCGGCCTCCTGACTGCTGGTATTACAAACAAGTGCCACAACATCCAACTCACTGCCTTGCTGTTTTCTGAGTTGAGCCAAATCTCTCTCCCCTACAGGAAAGCTGTTGTAGTGGTCTCTGCCTATGCTGATGGTCAGCTTTACCACGCTCCAGCAAGTATCACTGAATAATAATATTATTTTTGGTACCAGGGATGGAACTCGGGACCTTGCGCCTGCCAGGCAGGCACAGTGCCACTGAGCTAAATCTCTGGTCCCAAATAATTTTTAAGTAACATGCACGTACACATGAAAAACAAACAAAAAAATAGCTATATGTACACATATTGAAAATCCATATGACGCACTCAGATGAATTATGTGGCACTGTGGCAAATATACTCTAAAACATCCTTGTCTCTACCCTCTGTCAGACATTTTGGTAGAAAAATGATGAACTAGTAGAATAAGCAAATTGTGTGTGTGTATACAGGTACATATATACATATGCATAAACCACATATATCTTTAAGAGGAATCACATTTATATTACAAAAATAAACTCTACCATCAAACTTACTGAAAATTATTTCAAGTGTTTTAACAAATACACTGAAAACAAACAAAAACTAATTTTTTGAGGGGGGGGGGTGTTTGCGATACCAAGGATTGAACTCAGGACCTTTCGCTTGCAAGGCAGGTGCGGTGCCACTGAGCTAAATCCCTGCCCTAAAAATTTTTTAAAGGCACATAAGCAAATGTGCTCATGGATGACTTCTGTAACCACAGATTTAACATAAAACTATTTTCATTTTGTTCTACATATAAAAACCAAAGGAGCTGGGCGTGGTCGAGCAAATGCCTGTAATCCCAGCACCAGGGAGGCTTAGGCAGGAGGATCCACAAATTGGAGGCCAGCCTGGGCTACATACGGAGAACCTGTCTCAAAGAACAAAAACAAAGAAAAACCTCAAAACAAGAAGAAGAAAAGAAAGGTCTCACCCATCCTGGTGGTGGAGACCTCTAATTTTAGCCTCCTAGGAGCCTGAGGCAGAAGAATGTTGCAAATTGCAGACCAGCCTGGGCCATTTAGCAGATCCCTATCTCACTAGAGAGGGGTGGGGCTGGGGGGCTGGGGGGCTGGGTGCCCCTGAGGGATAGAGCACAAGCCCGGTGGGCACCCGAGGCCTCCCTTCTAACGTAGCACTACAAAAGCAAAGGCTCTCTTTGGGCCGCATTTGTAAAGTCAGAAGTATAACAAGGAAAGTTACGACTTCTAAAATCTGTATTATAGAGTGCATTGTTAAGAAGGTGGATGCTAATTTGCTGGGGGGTTTTTTGCGGCGGGGGGGGGTGTTTGTATGTTTGTTTGACACAGCGTCTCACTCTGTAGTGCAGCCTGGGTTTAAACTCACTGATATCCTCCAGCCTCAACCTCCAGTGCTGAGGTTACAGGCGTGCCGTGCGCCACCACGCCCGGCTAATCCGCGGTTTTTGTTGTTTGTTTGTTTTTTGGTACTGGGGATCTAACTCAGGACCTTGCTCTTGTGAGGCCGGTGCAGTGCCACTGAGCTAAATCTCCGGCCCTAATTCACGTTTTTAAAAGACAAGAAACTAAATCCTAAACATAAAAATGGAAGGCCAAAACAAAACGAACAAAACCCACAAAGCGTCTCTGTCCTGTAACGAAAGCGAAACTTAGATAAATGACATAGCCCCGCAACCCCGCGGACCCGATGAGGTTTGACCCCAGCCGGCCACTGTTCTCGCCAGAATGTCACCTTCCAGAGCGCCCGCGGCCGAGCCTGCTGCGCAGTCTGATGACGTATTTCCTGTTGGCCGAGCCGCGCGTACAGCTCATCTATCGCTCCCAGCTCCACGCAGGTCAACACAAGCTTGGCAGGTGCAGGTCGTGGAAAGGTCCTTTCCAAGTTGTACTGTTTTCAAAACAGGCTATAATGCCAAAGAAAAACACTAAAGAACTACCGTTTAATTATCCCCTCAAATAGTCCGCGAGTAGGAATTCTAAATAATTCAGGCAACATATTATTTTACTGTACAACCTATTTTTTCCCAAGTATTTGATCCAAAAGGAACTGAATCATTGATGAGGGAAAAAGGTTGTCATCACAGATTTCAAAGGAAGTTTTTATTTCTTTAATTGTATTTTAATAGACATAGCTTTAAGAAATTGGCTCAATTAAAATTTCAAACGTGGCATGTACTACGTTCTTAACATACTGTTGGTTTTGTTACCCGACTTAATTGTATTACAGTTATCTAAGCTACATAATATACATTGAAAATACAGTGAAGCATACATAGAAATAAACAATGGGGAGGTTTGTTTGGCTTTGTATTGTATATACAGTGTGATCTGCTGTGTTATCACTAGCCCTTTTTTAAATTTAAATTTTTGCATTTTGAGACAGGATCGAAGTCACCCAGTCTGGCCTGAAATTCTGTCTCAGCCCTCTGAGTAGCTGTGCTTACTCATGCTAGGGATTGAATCCATGCTAAGGAAATGCTCCAACAGTAAGCTACAACTCCAGCTCTTATGAAGGCGTTTCTTAAGTGTAGATTTAAATAGAAAGGCCTAAATACAGACACTGTAACTGCAGAAACCAGAAGGCTGAGGTAAACTTTAATTTCCTGATGTTTTGAATTCTTTTTTCTTTCTTTCTTTCTTTCTTTCTTTCTTTTTTTTTTTTTTTTTTGTGACAGGGTCTCAGTATGTAGTCCAGACTGGCTTCGAGCTTGCAGCAATCCACCTGTCTCACCATCCCAAGTGCTGGGATAACAGGTATGGGCCACCATGCTTGGCATTTTTGTATTTTTAGATAGGGTCTCAACTATATAGTTCAATTTGCCCTTGAACCCACTGTGTATCCCAGGCTGGTCTCAAATTCACAAAGAGCCTCTGAGATTACTGATGTGTGCCATCATGGCTAGCTTTCAATCTTTGAAGTTACCATGTATTACCCCTTAATATGTCAATGAGGCAAAAAGATGTGTCTGTGTGTATATATATAAATGCACATATATATATATACACACATGCATACGTAAGGCATGTGTAGAACTGTATTCTGAAATTTGTCACAAGGAATTTTATGGTTTTGAAATAATTCCATAGCTCTCCTTAAATTTCTTATAAACCCAATATTCTCCTATAATTACATTATTTTTTAAAAAATGGGATTCTGTGTCAGGGAATATAAGTTAGTGGTAAGAGCATTTGCTTAGCCTGCTCAATGCCCTTGAATTTATCTCCAGCACCACACATACACACACATACAGAGTTAAATAGAGTTAAATTCTACACAATTAGGACAGGCATGAAGGATTCATAAATTGGAGATGAGATTGGAGTACTGATTTGATCATGCTGTATAATGCAACAGACACAAGTTTCTGCTATATTTTTGTAACATATAATGGAATTAAAAAGGGCGGGGACCAACACTGGGTAAACCAATAGTTGAAGAAAAACACTGGAGTGGGAAAGTGAGCTTCACTGAATAATTGGGAGTGTAATGCATTCAGGAAGAGTGACAACAATTTTTTGCTACATCAAAATTTATTTGGACTTCTTTTTTTTGTGGTGATCATTGAATCAGGGCTTGCTGGATGCTAAGTATGCACTGATCCACTGAGTTACACACCGAACCTGTAGTCAGGCTTCTGAGTTTTCTCCAAGAACCATTCTGCATTTCTTTGAAAAATCCAATTTAAGCAAAAACTGCTAAGATGGTTTAGCAAGAAAACCTCCAATCCAGCCTTGATAACTGATCATCCTCAGCACATGATCAGTTTCCTCATCCACCACTATCCCCCAGGTGCTGTTTCATTAGGTGATTCGAGCCTGTATCTTCCTTACCTCTCATGTTTCTGCACAGTAATTTTCCATTGATTGACTTCCCTGCTGCTCTTTGACTATAAATTGCCACTTGGCTATTCTGTATTCAGAATTGGGCTCAATTTCTTTCCCTGTCATTGAAAATTTTTCCTATTATCCTTCAAAGCAGTCCTAAATAAAGTCTTTATACTATGCTTTACTGAATATCATTGAAGATATTTTTTTCACAGTTAGGAAGCCACAACTTGAATAGGATAAGTTCATCATTGGCCCTCTCATCCAGGACATAGGTGTACACCACTGAAGCTTGGCCTTTACTTCTGATTGATCAGGAAGCTGTGAGTGAGCCAGACACCTGAACTATTTCTCTAGGAATATATGCAATGAAGGTGGTAAGGACAGGTTTATTAACTTACTTTTTGGTACTTGTGATCAAACTCAGAACTTTGTACACATGAGGCATGTGTTGTATCACTGAAGTGTACCTCCAGTCCTCCCCCATTTTCATTCCTGAGGTTTGAGTATAGTTTGTGAAGCTGGGTTACCATTTTAGGCTTCTCTTGAAAAGTACCTCCTGGGCCAGGTGTGGTGACTCACCTGTAACCCCAGCACTTGGGAGAGAGAGTTCCATCCCGGGTTACATGGAGAGGTCAAGGCCACCCTGAGTTATATGGCAAGACCCTATCTCAAAAGGAAATGAACAAATATCCCCTGGAATGGAAGGTCTTCTCCCTAGCTGTTTGCGCTGAGTGCCAACTATGCCCTGATCTTGTACTCTGAAAGCTTCTCTTTTCTGGCACTTGTGAGAGGACAGAATATGGTACCGCAAAATATAAAAAGATTATTGATTGTTACACAATTAACAAAAAGATGATACCATAATCTATTCTTCAGCTATGTGCCTGAAAAACAAGACATAGAGTTACAAGGATGGTGAACAAAGGTTTACCACTGAAAACGATTTTAGATTCTTACCTTGGAAGTAATAATAGAGGAATCTATATTAACATCTTTCACTAATTAATTTTATTTGCCATGTTTTTCCTTTGCATAAGTTGCTTTTTTTTTTTTTTTTTTTTTT